CCTAAACCCCTAAACACCAAAACCTTAAAACCCCAAAAAGCCCTAAAGACCCTAAGCTAAGGAGCTCCTGGAGATCGGTGTCTAAAACACCAAAACCCTATAAACCCTATAAGCCCTATAAACCCCTAAACCCCCAAAACCCAGGAGCTCTTGGAGATCGGTGTCGAGGAAAACCCCCAAAACCCCCAAAAGCCCTAAACCCTAAACCCTAAAACCCTAAAAGCCCTGAATACCGAAGCTAAGGAGCTCCTGGAGATCGGTGTCGAGGGGGAGTTCCGGAGCCAGGCCTTGGGCGCCCCGAGTCGACGGCTGCCTCCCTTCGGGCTCTTGGCCACCCTGAAGGCCCCTGAGAGACTCCGGGAGTTGTAGGATTTTAGGGCTTTAGGGCTTTTTTTGGGGTTTTGGGGTTTAGGGCTTTAGGGCTTTTGGGGGTTTAGGGTTTTAAGGCCCCTGAGAGACTCAGGGAGTTTTAGGGTTTTAGGGTTTTCAGGGTTTCAACACGGGTTCTTCAAGGGTTGGGGTTTGTCTAAGGGTTCTTTGATTCCAAAAGGGTCGTATACTCTAGCAGTTTAGGGTTTTAGGGGGTTCGAACTATAGCTTTAGGCTGAAGTTTTTCAGTGGTTTGAGGGATATAAGGGGTTCGAGGGTTCCATAGGGTTTCCACAAGGAGTCTATACGGGTTCGGGGTTTTTGGGTCGCAATATGTTTGGCAAACATTTGGACGTTTTTGTTGTATATATGTCAAGCTTCTTAATGTTCATGGTTCGGGTTTTGCGATGCAGGGGTTTAGGAGGCGATGCCAGGCTCCTTTGGACAGTTGTGAGCGGAGCTGTTCTAGGGTCGGGTGTCGAGTAGTATCTTGCTTGCTCAGATGCTTCCTGGCTTTGGGCTTCCGGATAGCTAAGGAACGGGACATAACCAAGCCTTTACAGAAGACCGAAGCGAGCCCTTTCCTAAACCTTAAATCCCAAACCGGATAACCAACAACCCTAGACCCCAAACCCGAAGCCCCGAACCCTCCACACCATAAACCCAAAACCCAAAACCCCAGAACGCCCATAGAAATTCCCTAACCTAAACCGAGAGGACTTGGCGATCCTATCGCCCTACTCGGGGCGAGCCTGTGGTGGGATGGGCGTGGACGTGGTGCGGATCTTGCAGCCGGGTGCAACGGGGTTTCGGTGCACTTCTGGGACTCTAGGACTGGTAGGATTAGGTTTTAAGGTTTGGGGTTAGGGATTTGGGTCATCCCCCCCTCCCCCACCCCTCAAAGGCCTTCAAAAGCCCTCGCATCGGGATTAGGTAGTCGCGATCAGGCATGTAGCTCAGTATTTCAGGTGCTTGGCACAGCCCCCAGAGCCCTGGCCCTAAACGCCCCCAGCTCTCGCCCTTTTCGCCGGCCTTCGCCGAGGCAACCGGTGAAGATGAGCCCCGACTGCCTGCTGCCCAACTTCCCATGGCTGGGTCTGGCCCGGATGGGGGAGAAGTTTGCCTGCATCCTGCTCCTCGACGACTCAGGGTTCCCGCAAGGAGGATTAATTTTTAAGGGTTCCCTTTTAAGGGTTCCCTTGAAGGGGTTCCTTTTTAAGGGGTCCCCTGAAGGGTACAGGAGGGGCTTAGGTTTGGAGTTTGGGATCCGGGTTAAACCACCCGAGGCAAGCGAGCCCTTCGGGCAAAGAGGTCCTCTTGGAGATGCATCTTCCCGAAGCTCGGAGCGGATCGTTCCATTTTGGAGGGTTTAGGGTTGGAGGGTATACTTCAAGGTTGCTATGTACGGGAAGGTTAGTACAGGGGTTACAAGTTCTTCGGATTTCGCTAAGGCTAAGTGAGTGTTCAGTCTCCTTCGTTGCCACTCTTAGGGTTTCTAGGTAACGTAAGGTGATTATTAGGGCTTCTCAAAAGGTTCGTGAAGATTCAGCTTACTTTGTGTACTGAGTATAAGGGACTATCCGGGTAGTATCTCACATAAAATGATGAGTAGGGTTTCTATACGGGTTACTGCTAGGCTAGTTCTTAGAGGGTCCATTACGGGTTCTGCGATGCTGTCAGCAGGGGGTTGAGGGCTTAGGGCTTTTGACATTACTGTAGGGGCTGTTGCTGTAGAGTGTGGGGGTTTGGGTTTAGGGTTTAGGGCTTTGGGTTTAGGGTTTAGGGGTTTACAGTTGGACCTAAAAGGGGACCCCAATTTAGAGAACTACCCAAACTGTTCTGCTGTTGCTGAGAGTCCTGTTGCAAGCTGTCCGTATCTTTCCGTAGCTGTCTGTGCTACTTCGCATTTGGCAGATTGCCGGCTTATGCTTTGGGTGCTTTTGGAGTGTAGTGAACTCTGTGTGGCGCTTTGCATTGGCAAGTTTCGTACTGGGACTTGATTAAGTCAGTTTTGCTGATGTGCATCACTTTAATTGAAAGCTTTAAAACTGTTCGGTCTGTAGCTGGCGATGTCAAAACCGTATCAGACACTTGTAAGCACTCATCTCTCCAACCCTACATGAGCCCCAATGCTAGAAGCCTAACCTAACCCCCTAAACCATAATGCCATAAACCCTAAACTAGACCCTTAACCCTAAACCCTACCCTAAACTAAACCTTAAACCCTAAACCCTAAACCCTAAACTACACCTTAAACCTAAACCCTAAACCCTAAACTAAACCCTAAACCCTGAACTAAACCCTAAACCCTAAACCAAACCTGAAACCCTAAACCCTGAGCTAAAACCCCCAAAAAGCTCACAACCCCAGGATGCCCGGATCCTCGTCTGGGAGCCCCTGGCCCTGCCTCTGGGGCACTTTCTGGAAGACCGCTCGGACGAGGACCTCGCGCTTCGCCCGAAGCCCTGAACTCCGGAAACCTTTCCGGGGGCCTACTAAGAAATTACCAATACTTTTTGTTTTTTGGGCGGGGGGTCCTTACTAGAATCATAGCATAATATCATCCCCCCTCCCCCCAAAAAAAATTCGATGTATTAAATTCTGTGTATTAGGGCTCTGAAATCCTTAGGCCTTCAACCCTGAATCCCAGACGGGTGAGGTTTTAGGGTCGTCCACCCCTTATACACCCCCCAAACCCCCTAAAGCCCGGAAGAAGTGTTGAGCGGCTTCGCTGGCAGAGTC